GCTTATAAGATCTCTCATGTAATCTTGATGCCTTTCTTCTGTTTCCTTAATTAGCTTATCTTTTATTGTCAGTAGTGTTATCCATGATATTGCTAATGAGATTTCTCTCTTTAAATCAATAGATTCTTTGTTTTCTTCTTCTTCTGTGTCTTGTCCTATGGGATAAATTTCCCCTCCCTTTGATTCCTCTTTCAGTATTCCACTCTTTCCATTTTCAGAGACCGACCAGAGGAAAACCTAAGTACATAGGTTACAGAGAACAATAAAAGAAAAAATAGAAGAAGTAAGCTTAATCCATCCGTTTCAAAAGGCTTACATAAATTCCATCCATGAAGATAACATTTAAAAAGTAAGATAACCACTGTCCAAAACCATTCCAAATTTAATGCCGCCGCTCAATTCTTCTGTTCTCCAATTTGAATTAATTTTAAGTTTTTTATAGGCAGTCTCCTTTTAAAATAGTAAAAGTTCCTCACCAGCTGGAAACACTTTCACTTTCCGTATCCTTCCGTTTTGGAGCCGCCCTGACTTTGTCAGCCTTGGCTGGATTTTTTGTCGCCGGCTTGAAGAACGTCTGTTGCTTCTACCAGGGACTCTGCGATGTCCCTGAGGTCAGCAAGTCGTATTCTTCCTGTTCACCATCTCTGTGGGGCGGTTTAGGTCCGATTGGACCACTCAGTGGCAAAAGTATTGGCTGCAATCTCGAAGCATCGAGACCACATGTCCACATCGTCGTGATGTTGGCTCCTCCCTCTCTATGTGCTGCATCTTCTATGTTCCTTGTTGGGAGCTCTCCCACACATTTGTGCTTCTCAGTTCCTATGCTTCCTCCAACAATTCTCTTCTCCTACAGAGTCAGAAATACTAGCAGGTGTTGAAGCATGCTAATGCAACCAGTTAGTGAACTTTGGCATGCAAAGTTATTGCAGGCAGAATTATTGAAGGAAGATGTGGCTGACTTTGTAATTAAAGAAAATAAACTTGGCATTGAGCGTCTTCACTGTTTAGAAGAGAGAAACCGGGTAGAAAGCCAGAGTAGGTTCCAATGGCATTGGGGATGGGGCTAACAATGAAAACCAGCAGAAATTTTATTTGTTTGTTTGTTTTCTGTGCTGTCCATCTCACTAACACAGCAATTCTGGGCAGCATAGAAATTAGGAATCTAGAATGCTTATAGAAAGTTGTGGCATCATCCAGCTGATTCTTGAGAAGATGTAGAATCTTAAGATTTAAATTTCCACTTTTGCGGAAGCAGCTCTTCTAATAAAAACAACAATCATAAACTCAACTTTGTAACATGACTCTACATTATCATTTTGCACCAGTGGTGTGAATTTGTTGTAGGTCCTTTAAAATAATGGGAAAAAAATCATCAGAAAGAAATAAAATCACTAGGCAGATTTAGGTATATTCACAGGAATGATATAAGAACAAGTAATTCTTCTCAAAAAGGAAAGTTAGCAATATAGTTCTCTTCCCGACCATCTATCAAAATTCTTTCACTGCTTCAAACTGGGAGTTCAATACTCCATCAATAACCATTTCCTAATAGTTTTATGGGATAAAAAGTACAGACCACCTTTGACTTAAAACCACCAATTGGCATCAGAATATCAGTTTTTGAGCAAAGTGAATCAAGATGCCCCCATGACTGCTTCACTCAATGACCACAATCCCAGCTCTCCCAGTTCTGCTTATTAAGCAACTGCGTGGATTTTTAAGGGGGTGGAGCAAAAGAGCTGCCAGGCAAAGGAAGGAAGCAGCATTCCTCCATGCATGGAAAGGAACATCTGTGCTGGAGGACAGGAATGGAACTCAGATCTCTGTAATCTGAATTTCATTTCTGCAGCCTGCCACAGGAGTTCTCCACCCTTCTACCCTGTTTCCCCAAAAATACAACCTACCCTGAAAGTAAGTCCTAGCTTGATTTTTACACATGCACCCAATATAAGCCCTACCCCCCAAATAAGTCCTAATTAAGATCTTGCCCACTCCAGAGTGCACAGGTAAAAATTAAGCTAGTGTGGGGATGGGGCGATTGATCTGCCCTACTACTTACCTTTGGACAGTTGTAGCTAGGCCTTGCATGCCCCGAAACCTGCCTCACCGGCCCATTTCTTCTGCAGCCAGCAAGACTGGCAAGACTTTTTTGAAGGCCTCTGTAGCTGATAACAAAGCTGTGGATCAATCCGGAGCTCTGTTATTGGCTCCAGAGGCCTTCAGGAAAGCTTTGCCAGCCACAGAAGAAGTTCCTAAAGGCCTCTGATAGTGAAAAAGAGGCTGGGGGTGATGCACACAAGTAAGATCAGTCAGTAGGATGACATCCCCTGAAAATAAGACCCGGTGCCTTTTTTGGTATCCAAAAAATATAAGACAGGATCTTATTTTCGGGGGAACACGGTATGTACAGAAGGAACACCTGCAGTGGATTGGAAAAGTTCAGATGCCAAAAATCCAAGCCTTGTTTCTACAGCCTGATGAAGAATTTCCCCTTTCCTCCTGTGAACAGAAGAGAGATGAAATCTTTTGGCAGGAAGCAGCAACTTGCTACGTTCTTTGCTGGCTTCCACACTGACTTTCTGGAAAAGTTGGCAGAGAAGATTGCAAATAGCGATCCCATGATTGTGGGGGGGGGGGGGGTGTGGCAACCAGTGTAAGCATGACCAAGTTGCCAATCACGCAGTTCGTCATCGTGTGATTGTGCAGAGAAGGACAGCACAATGTTTTATGATGGTCAGAAGGGTTTTAAACAACTCGTCATAAGTCAAGGACTACCTTTTAATGTAAATTAATTGTACATTCTACATCAACAATAGCAGTAGTAGACAAGGCAGAGATGGAAAATCATATATGTAGTTTAAAGACTTAATAGATTTGTATCAATATTCTACTACAGGTTTTACAAATAGGTTTTCTACAAACAGGTTTTGTTGGATATGAAATTTCAAATTTCTAGGGTTTTAGCTAGGAAGAAAAGTTTTATTTACCTATTGCCTTCGCGAGAAACCGAGCACTGTTGATATTCTTCACTTCGGTCCTTACTCCATAAAGTTGGCCAGGATGATGTACAGATACATTTGCATCTACTCTCAACTGGCCCTCTGAAAATAATATGAGCAGTTGAATATGAACCCATACCGCTTACAAATATATATATATTGCAAAATTGCTATAGAAGATTATATGATGATTATCCAAGGCTTTTATTTCCTTAGGCTCCCCAGAGGAACTTATGGCCCTTCAGCTACTGTGAAGCTACAATCCCAAAATACATCATCATTGGACAATTTAATCAGAGTTCACAAACAACTCAAGGACCACAAGCTCTCCATTTCTAAGTCTAGTCTAAAATTCTATGGATACACACCTTAAAGAGATTACTACACTTTTATCAAATGAAACACACTTCAGAAGCTTTTCTGGAGACCTATTTCAAACAGGAATATGTGCATCCCTCTGTGTGTGGCATCTGTACACATCTTAAGGCACTGATGCTCCCAAGAGGTTCAGCATTTATGCACAAACCAAGCCTTTACATCGTTTTTAAGACTCCACAGTCAGTTGAGAAAAAACTTTGTGACGTATAGAACAAAATTAATTTTGCTTGACAGTAATATAAGATTTGTGTAGTTATTTAAAAAAATGACACTGAAAACTGTTAAGGTTTTATAGATGCAAACTCCTGGTGAAACTACATGAAAGGAAAAAATTGCCATGCAAGCACTGAGCTACACTGCACCTATTTTTCTCAGATGTTGCTCTGAAGATGCTTTCCTAATCAACAATCCAATAAACTGTAACCGGCTTCCTATCTTACTAATAGAACCACTATGAAAAATCAATGGGGCTTTTCTTTGGCAAAGTTTGACAGGTTGCCCCCTGTGACAATGTTAGATTTTATAGCATGCTTATTTTACACAGCCTATTACCCTGTACAGGACAGGAATTGTTCAAATTGACTCATATAATGTTTTATTGCCCATTTTAAAATAATTCATTGTCCCACTGATTTATTCTATTCTAAGACATCCAGGCAGTGAGCTTGATTACTGTCTATGTTATAAGTTACCTGATTGCTATCTGGAGTATTACTATATTTTGCACCTCTATATCTTCATGTACACATTGCTGCAAATATTACTGTAAAACATATATTACATGTTTACCTTGGACATATATTTCATTTTTGTTGTAAGTTTATTAATACACATAATTTGACACATATTATAATACTAGCTGGATACCCATGCTTTGCTACGAAACTATGTGATCGGGTTTGATACTTAAAGTTTGAACATTAATGTAGAATGTGTAACTCTTTAGCAGAGCGTGTTAATATAAGGCAACTGGCAGTTGGAACAGAGTTCTTTTCAGGTGGGGAGGGAGAGTAGAATGTCTAAATTCTCAGCCCGCAGGCCAGATGAATCACACGCTTGGCCACGCCCGGTCAAGCGATGGGGTGAGCATCAGAGCATGTTAATGTAAGACAACTGGCAGTTGGAACAGAGTTCCTTTCAGGTGGGGAGAGGGAGTAGAATGTCTAACTCCTTAGCATCGATGCGTGTTAATATAATACTGTATAAAAAATATTGATGATCTGTATTCAAAAAACTGATTTTGACAAATCCTTTCTTAGCAAGCACCTAGAAGCCAAGAGGAACCTAAGTGCCGAATTTCTACAGTTCTAGAGATTTCATGTTGAGTGAGTGGTATTTGGCTTTTATCTCTATATATATTATAATAACGCAAACATTGTGTTGGTATTATAACACAATTATAATACTAACACAGTTCTAAACAAATATCCAGAAGACAAAAAGTGAAACAACTAAGCTAAAAAAAGGCTTTGTCAAGGATTTTGATTGTATGAAACTATCATTTGATGGCTTGGTAGAATTCTATCACAAAGCCTACAGCAATCCAAACAGATTTACTCAAGTGTCCTTGAAAATTTATAGCACAAGGACAGGTGAGAAAAGCCCATTTTTCCCCTTCAAGGACTTATAATCTTTGCAATGAATACAACTGAAAACCCTTTCAAACAGCCAAAAGCTAATACAGATTTCCACATAAACTGATAGAACAATCAGGCACTAAAACAACTATTTCAGGTGTATATTTCTTTGTTTTTGCAGATACAGTACTTCCTGATCAAACCTGTAAAAATCTAGAAGTCAAACTGATAAAGCAATATAAAATCTCCTCAATAATTCTGTACCAATAATGGGGGTGTAAGAGAGGAAGCTTTTCACACTCTTCCTATTTGCTGTAAGATACTATTACAGGGGTGTCAAACTGGATTTTTGGGAGGGCAAGACCAGCATTGTAGTTGTCCTCCAGGGACTGGCTGAAAGGGGGAGGATACCCTCCTGCAACACCCTGCCAGCCAAAATGGGATGCAGGGGGGGGGGCGTGCGCCTGTGGCCCTCCCGCAGCCTGCTTTCACTAGCAGAGGCACCACAGGCTGGTCCTTTGCTATTTCCAGGCCAGCCCCATGGGCTGGATCTAAGCACCCTGTGGGTTGGATTCAGCCCAGGGGCCTTGAGTTTGACACCCCTGTACTATTGCATAAGGTGAAGCAAGATTTTCTCTTAAATCTTAATGAAAAACACTGGGTACATAGCACATAAAATTCCAGCAACGCACTGTATAGAAGCCTACATTTTGACTACTTTGAATATTACAGTTTGTAAAAATAAAATAACCTGCTTTTTTATTATTTCCTGATTTGCTTTGAATATCAAAGTTTACAGAAAAGCTTCGGTTCTAGTTTTTGCAGTCAAAAATGTTTGTAATTAGCTACTTACTCAAAAAGGTCAATAATTATCTTTTTAAAACAGTTTTGCTTGAATTTTAGAATGAACCTTTGATTACATGAAATAAATGAAACAAGCATAGTTGTCCATTATTTATTCACCCAAACTTTCGTTCTATTTCAGCAAGTCACATGAAACCTTGAAAACAAGTACTGTGGTTGTAGAGATATTTTTATAGTTGCAAAAAGCTAGAAAAATGAAAGTGGTGGGGGTTGAGTACTTTTCGCTGAACTATGTGGTTTAGGTAAATTAATAGGTAATTATTATAGGGAATACTTATAGTATTATAGATAATACTATACTATTTGCATAACACTTAAGAAAATGACCAAAATTGTTTGCAAACTGCCCAGAGTTACTTAGGTGAGATGGAGAGTGTAGAAATTTGATAAATAAATGAGACTAAACTGCATACAAAGTCTAATAGAAAAAACTTTCAACCTCTATCAATACACTCAATTATTCTAGAATAGGGGTGTCAAACTCAAGGCCCAGGGGCTGGATCCACCCTGCGGGGTGTTTAGATCTGGCCCATGGGGCCGCCCTAGAAACAACAAAGGACCAACCCATGTGCCAGCAAAACGGAGCTCAGGAGGGCGTCTGCTGGCAGAGGGTTGCAGGAAACTGTCGCGGGAGCCCATTTTCATTGCCAGAGCACTCGGGCCATAAGTGCCCCCGGCATGATATCGAGTTGGCCAAGCCCACCTTGGCCACACCCACCCCGGCTCCCCAAGGTCAAACATAATTCTGATGCGCCCCTCAATAAAATCGAGTTTGACACCCCTGTTCTAGAATGATCCAGCTATTATTATGTGCTATTAAGTCAGTGACTGTTTTTAGTGGCCAGATAGACTTCTTCAGAATGATCTATCACTAAGCCTGATTTTTCAGCAACGCACCTCTCACTACTTTAATCCATTCACTTTGCTGCTGGTTGTGCTCTTCTTTTTCTTTCCATATTGGCCAGCATTATGGATTGTTAAAAAGGAGCAGGGTTTCTCATCTTGTGCTCAGATATGATAATTTGAGCCTGATCATTTTGTGCTTCAAAGGACAATTCTGTATTTTCTTGTGCAATTCATTTATTTTCTTGGCTATCCATGGAATTCTCTAGAGTCTTCTGCAACACTGGCGTTCCAAAGCATTAATACATTTTTCTATCTTCTTCTTCAAAATGCTGCTTTCAAATCATTTTTGCAGAGCTTTGAAGCTATCAGACTATCTCACAGCATCTAATTACGTTTTCCAAGGCTTTCATGGCTATCCTATCAAATGCTAGTTTTGCAGCATGCTTGTTCTTTTAGTCGATCCTAAACAACAAAAGCTATTGACCACTTCACTATCAATTCTAAGGATTTTTAAGATTGTTGTACTTGTCATTAATTTAATCTAATTTTTCTTTTTTCAGACTCTCAATAGTAAGCAGTCTGATCTTCTGCCTGTCCGATTCTAGTCTATTTCAATTTGCTGATACTGAATATGTCAAAAGGTAATTGATTCATTTCATCTTTTACTGTGACGACCTTTTGTATGTTCATCCTTCTTATGTTTCATACTTCTACTGCAATCCCTTCTCTGAAGCTTTTGACTGTCTTTTCCAGCATGACAATATTAGCTACTTTAATCTAGCCACATCATAAACACTATTAGATCTTCATTTCTTCCTCTGCCAGCATCTGACTTGATGGGCCCATAATCTGGCACTACAGTATATCAACAATCATTTTATTAAGTCTATCCATGTGATTTTCGTGGTAAAATACATCCTTATTTATCCCTTTCTCAGTAGCAGCTCCCGCCATTACCACAAAGAAACAACATAGCAGGAAATGGGGAGGGGAGTGCTGCCAATTATAAGGGTAAATTATTTGGATAAAACCAAGGCTTTGTTTCATAAAAATATAATATTCAATAAAAATATAACTTGTTAGCAAATATTTACTTGAAGCTGAATCTCAAATATTTCCATTTTGCAACATTCCCAGGATCTCTTACAACTAGCAGTATAAAACTAGAAATTATTAGACAAGTTACAGTTAGTATTGTCCCGAAGAATTTGCATTTGGGGAGGCTAATGTGGAAGCAAAAGAAAAGTCCACCCAGGAGCCATCAATAATTCTATTCCCACTTAGGTTTATCATGCACAGTTTCAAAAAAAGGTCAGCAGGCTAAGAAATATCTGAGCTGAGTCAGAAGCACTAATGTCTCCAAGATACCTAAGGTAGGAATACCACATACAGCTTCAGAAATCTTATGAAGAAGAGAAAAAAACTCCAACAAAAGGCAGCCAAACAATGCTAAATGATTAGTGGCTGCACGGCAAAGAAAGCTACTGTGAAAGGGCCTTTCTTATAGAAAATCACAGTTGAGGAAAGATAAATAAGCCCTGCAGTTCCCCTACCTGCCATGTTTGCCTGGCTGCTCCCGAGAACCTGCAGGATGAGTTGAAGTTCTCTCACCGCGGCTGCCGCCTCTTCTCCACAACACATTTCTGGTTCCATGACAAGCTCCATGAGGCCGATCCCTACCAGAGGCAAAGGAAGGATAACAACAGCAGCTTTTTCATCTCATTGTATCAGTTCAGTCAATAATGTTGAGCACATTTAAAGCTGCTCTAGCTTTTATGTGAGGCGATTCAGGGTCATTTATTATTTAATCCCTGTCAAAATTCATACAACAGTAGAACTGTTATTCTGTCTTGAGTAAGTTCACATCTCACTAATATAAAAAAAAAAGAAACTATATGTAAAGTCCCCCAAGAGAAATGTGAGATGCTCATAGGTAAAGGTTCCCCTTACATATATGTACTAGTCATTACCGACTCTAGGGGGTGGTGCTCATCTCCGTTTCAAAGCTGAAGAGCCAGCGCTGTTCGAAGATGTCTCTGTGGTCATGTGGCCGGCATGACTAAACACTGAAGGTGCATGGAATGCTGTTACCTTCTCACTAAAGGTGATTCCTATTTTTTCTACTTGCATTTTATGTGCTTTCAAACTGCTAGATTGGCAGAAGCTGGGACAAGTAACGGGAGCTCACTCCGTTACAGGGCACTAGGGATACGAACTGCTGAACTGCTGACCTTTCTGATCAACAAACTCAGCATCTTAGCTACTGTGTCCCATTGAGCCACCACGTCCCATGGGATGCTCATAACTAGCTGTAAAAGACTGTCCTTTTGCAAATTAGGTAGCAAACAGAGGAATGTGGTCTCTGGCTTTGAAATGTAGCATCAACAGACAGATCTATGGGAAATCTTCTGTGTCTGGCAAATCTTCTGGTCCCTGAACACCTGATACAGCAAACAGATTCAGATTCAGATTTTCAGATTTAATTTATTTGTATGCCGCCCTTCTCCGGGAGGGACTCAGGGCGGCG